TCGACGCGGTCAAGATCAGCTCGTCCCTTCCTCCTCCTCTACCGCCGTCTGCAGGTGCGGTCGACACTGAAAAGCATCAAACGTGTCAAGATGTTTTGAGGATATTATTTGTCATAAAAATGATGACTTTAATATCATGGAATAACTTTTTTTTTTGTAGTTCTTGTAAATGTTTGAACAGTTTCAAAATCATTATCGTCAGACATTTAGACATTATTCAGGTAAAGTTACAACCACTACATTTCATTTCCTGCCACGGATGATGCTGCAACTTTGCGGTTTTGCTTTTGGGCAACCACGTGCTAGAAATGATTGAGATGACAAAGTCCAAAATAGTGAACGTGGACCTTTGTAACGTCACTTTTAACCGAAGTTTCAAACCTAATTTTTTTTTTTTTTTTTTTTGGGCTCCCTTCAGGTCATCCAAGCCTGAGGCCGAAGGTGACAAACGCTTAACTCCTCCTTTCAATTCGATCCGAATCCGACACGTTTGCTACATTGACGCGACGCTTAACGGAATCATCACATCATCATCATTGATCGTAAAGTTTGCTCATCGTTTTGATTTGCATCCACGCGTGTCCAGGAGGAAGAACAGGACGACGACAGCGGCGATATGTACGAGCCTCTTGACGACGCGTGGTAAGAGAACATTTTGGGTTTGTTTTCTTTTTTTTTTTTTTAACCAAGTCAGAGATTTTTTTCCCCCATTCGGTTTCTGCTCGTCAACAGGGACGAACACGAGAAAAGGAAAGAGAAAGAGGAGAAACGACAACTGGAGGCCGAGAAGAAGGAGCAAAAGGGGCGAGAGAAGAAAGAACAAGAGGCCAGAAAGAAATTCAAGGTGAGACGCGACACCCTTTTGACACTTTGCCGGATAGTTTTGGAACTTTATCGGCGCTATTATTTTGGCATTTCAGCTGGTGGGCCCCGTGGAAGCGATCCATCAGGGCAAAGCTCGCGGGGACTGCAAAGGCAGTAAGACGGAGCTGGCGCTCAAGCGAGGCGACTGCCTGGACATCATTCGAGTTCAAGGCAACCCAGAGGGCAAATGGTTGGGACGGAAACAAGATGGATCCAGTATGTTGAGTTTTTTTTTTTTTGTCACCGGTATTATTTTCCTCAAAATCAAAACCAAAATTGTGACTTTTTTTTTTTTTTGGGTAAAAGTTTAACTTGTCAGATTTTCGTGAAAAAAAAAAAAAAAAACACTAAAATTTCATCAAAAAAAAAAAAAAAATACTTTGGTACGATGTCGCAAAAGTTGCTTGCTCCTTTGCCAGTTGGCTACGTGAAGACGACCTCGGTGGAGATTGACTTCAACACTCTGAAGACGCAACAAGCTCAGCAGGGCTCCAGCTTTGACGTCTACGATGACGTGGACGTGGCCTCGTCGGACGGCAGGTGCCAAGTAACTTTCAAATCGTTCGTATCAATTGATACATTTTTGTTTGTGTGTGTCTGGGGGTGGGGGGGGGGGGTTTGTTTCATTCCATGTCAAGTAAAGTGTATTCTGCTTGATTTTTTTTTTTTAATCAAATAAATTTGCTTTGATATAAATATTCCAACCCGTTTTCTCCCCGCAGTGGAATCAGTGGACAAGGAGGTAACTTGGCTCAACCTTTTCACTGAATTTTGTTATAATTCATTTGACTCATTATAATAAGTCGTAATTCCATTCCCCCCCCCCCCCCGACCCCCCACAGTGTTTTTACCGCCTCCCCCAATAGAGGATGACGAACTCTATAATGACGTCATCGATCCGGATTTGGATGTGAGGTGGGTAATGCCAAACACTGACACGATGAAATAAGAACGTATTAAAAAAAAAAAAAAATCTCTGTATATATTTGGCTGTTTAGTCACCAACGGCCCAGGTTGTCCGTTCCAAAGTCGCTGGGCCTCCTGAAGATTTTTGAGCGAAACAGACGTCCAGTCAGCACTAAAGTGTAAAAATACACTCGGTAGTAAGGCCGGTTCTCACACGTCAATCCCGCAATCTTTCACGTCAATCGCTCGAGCCGTGACGTCAAGGCGGAGAGGAGGAGGAGATGATGCCGCCTTCTGTTGATTTGATTCTTTGCCGACCACTGATGATGTCATTCACGTTGCATGAGATTGATTTTTAATTTTTTTTTTAAATTGGCTTGTTGTTTGTGTGCAATCAACTAATTGTGTTTGTCGATCACTAATCCGCTGATTACGTTGGCGGGACTGACGCATGACGCCGATCATCCGGAAATTGAGGGCATCGGCTGCCAAACAGATCGAGTCAAAGTGACGTGATGATCTTTCGGCAGATATGTAGGATGACTTTTGACATTTCTCCTTTCTTCTGATGTGCCAGACTTCCTCCACCCAGCCAGTTTACGGCCGAGGACAATGCAGGTATTTCAAAATAATATATATTTTTTTTTTTTAAAGAGAAAGGAAAAAAAGGATCATTTGTGGATTTTAGTTGCATTTTTTTTTAAATAGTCATCCATTTTTGACACTTCAAATTCTGTTCAGCATCGTGTGACGATATTATTTATATCACATATCAATTAGGATATTTTTGAAAGTAGAATTTAAATACAAAAGGCTAATTTTGTTTGTGGTTCATTCCAGTATTTATTTTTTTCTGTTTTTTTTTTCAATGAAAGGAAAAGAAGAAAACCTTTTTCATTTTTCTTATGCAAGATACAAAACACGATAGTTCATCTTTTTTTTTTAAATTAATGTCAACTTTAAAAATACATCTAGCAAAACTATTTAAAGAATTCTTCTATTAAAAAGCATCGAAAAAGATAAATGAATGATCCAGTCTTGTTTTTGTTCTGTATAATTGTGGCAAATTTGGATCAAATTAGAACAAAGGAACAATTGTCTTTCGACGACCATTGTGTTCGACTGTAAGTCGAAAACGAAAAGACGACAACCGAAAAACTCTTTCATATGTTTGAAGTTGACGACGAGCTCTACTACGACGTGGACGCCCAAAACCAGCCGCCTCCGCCACCCATCAGCAGGTACGATCGTGTCATTCGGCGCGACTTTGTCGCGGCCTTTTCCCAAGTTGCGCCGCCATTTTTGTTTCCTCAGCATTCCGTCCACGAGAGGCAGAGGCAAGGCGGAAGAGACTGACCCGAAAAAGACGAAGAAGCTTGAGAAAGAAGAGAAAGACTTCAGGAAAAAGTTCAAAGTTTGTATTTCTTTCTTTCTCTCTCTATATATATGTATGTATACATATATACACAATGGATGTCCTTGTCATGCAACGTGCTTTCAGTATGACGGTGAGATCCAGGTCCTGTATCAGGTGACCGTCAGCCCCACTGCGGTGAACAAAAAGTGGGGCATCAAAGAGCTGGCGGTCAAAGCCGGGGAGAGACTTGACGTGATCGTCAAGCCCAGCGACAACAAAATGATCTGTCGCAACGAGGAGGGCAAGTGTGAGTGCACAAAAGTATTGGGACATACAGCCGTTTTGTTTTTGTTTTTTTCCCTAATGGCCTATGTGTGTTTGTCCTTCACAGTTGGTTACGTTTCAATGTGCCATATTTGCATGGAGTGAGTAGCATAAATATTTTCACGTGGTTCACATATAGCAAAACAGGGAGCAACAAGTAAACAAGAAAGCTGACTTGTTTTTTTTTTTTTATTTTATTTTCAGCGACGGTGACATTTATGACGATATCGACGATGGTATGTTATTCCAATCAATCAGTTTCAAATTCTAAATGAAAGGAATTTTTAATCATGATGGCATCTTCCTCCTCAGAGTGCATCTATGACAATGAATGAAGAAGACTGCATCCTGTGTACATACCAAGTGTAGAACGTGTTATTTAATTGTGTTTTGGAAATCGGCGCTTGGCCTTTTGGCGACATTTTTGAAAATATAAAACAGAGCAGTATTTACAACTTTTCCATTTTGTTTTCAAATGTTCTCAGCTTCGGTAATTTTCCCTGTAAAATACCTTTACAAGTTTAAATGTGTTATGGACTCTAAAATAATGTATATAGACTCATGTGACATATGTAATCATGTAAAAGTCTGTTTTTTTTCCTGTTGAATAAATATGTTTACAAAAAAAAGCTATCCCTGTATTTATATCAATTATCATGACATGCATTTTCACAGATCTAAAGTTCAGTATTAAAATTCTGGCTGGGCATAGGTGGAGAACATGCACATCAATTTTGATTGCGACGGATTGTAGTTTTATATTATGCGACAATCAGTTTTTCCTCAATAGAGAATGTCTATGAGGAGGAAAAAGCTTAATGCTCATAAAATCCAAAATACTGTGCTATATTTTCAGAGGTTGAAGTGGGCATAAGTGGAGTTGTGCAAATGAATTTTGTATTGCTTTTTAACAATAAGCGTTTAAGACTGTCGCTTCCTCAAATCTTAACATATTGGCAACATTTAAACACCATTTCCTTTATTCAAGCTATTTTCACTTGATGGTTTACAAAAAATTAATTTTGTTGTCACTTACCTTTTTTGCAATTAATTCCACATAGCGAAGCTGTGATTAATTAACGTCAAAATCTAATGACAAACACAAATACATTGACTGATAAGCACAATTTCTTTACCTTGTTGCCACTTTCAACCGGGCCCGGTGTAAACTGTTGTATTCGTCGCCTGTGTATCCTCCTGTTATTTTTTTATAAAACTAATCAGTTTGACTGGTGAGCACGTTTGGCCTCATCGTGCACAGGTGCAGCGTTCGCGGATGGTTGTTCAAATCTGGCGTCAGGCTTTTCCTTGTGCCTTCAAAGTAAAAATTCACTCCAACAGGAAATGTGAAAATAAAAGCTTAAATATTGTAGCAAGTGTAGAAGATAAAAACGCTGTTTGTAACAGATAGCCGTGTTTTACAACGCGAATGTTTAACCTATAAAGTGTAATTTTTTTTACTGTGCTTAAGGTCCAATTGTGGTTGTTGCGCTAACACTATTCAGACGGAGTGGGGGCGCTGTATCCACTTTGAGTCACCAGAAGAAGAAAAAGGCGGAAGTGAATGTTCTTGTCTTCATCATGGCTCCTCCCGTATCTGTCTCTCCGCTCATTAAGGTGAAACAAACACTTCTTAGATTATTCTAACGCGACTCTGTTTTCGTTACGGTACCATTCTCTCGTTAATCATATTGTGATGCGTCCGATGGTTAAAGTTGTATTTTATTTTCTTTGCGTAGTAAGCTCGTTGAAGTTTGTCCCACGCATGTCACTGCAATGACATTGAGGTGTTTTTCATATAAATACGCAAAAACTACGCAGAAATTCTCGGAAAAATATTTCCTATAGTCTGTAGTGAACCACTTTGATAAGATCCGTGTACGTGTTCTTTTAGTAAATGCGTGCGTATTTTTAAACTCATCCGACGGAAGGTCAAGGAGGACTTCGCGAGCGTGCTTGTTTTTAAAGCGCAGTAGATTGCTGAAAGACAAATTTGGAACTTTATGGTGTTATTTCTATGAACGTACATAACCTAATGGTGTGCGTGATATTTTCAGACGGCCCGGTGGTCTGCCCTGTTGCTTGGCGTCTTGTATGGCAAACAGAGGTTTGGTAAGTTTATTAAGCACTCCTCTTCCTTAATATATCCTTTATTTGTCCCACACTGGGGACAAATAAAACTTTCAGTACAGTGATGTAAAAAGAGTGCAGTCGGTGCAATTGCTTTCACCGGCCATAGGTTCCCTACCTCTTCTCTACATCAGAAAAATTAATTATCGCAAGATATGGCATCACAACATTGTTATTATTTCAGAATACCTGAAGCCCATCGCAGAGGAGGAGCGCAAGGTGGAGGAGGCTGAAAAGGCGGCCCGAGAGGAACAGGAGCGCATTGCCAAACAACTGGCCGAAGGTAGCACACGACGGTGACATCATCACTCAATACATGTCTATTTCCTGGTCTCAATGTTTCTCCCCCTTCTGTCTCCACAGCTAATTCAGACACCATCCTCAAGTGAGCCATCACTTCCTGTCTGTTGTGTTCCAAAATGAATAAAAGCTGATTATTTTTCATGTGAGGTGATGAGAGTGTTCATTGGGATGCAGGCACGTGCGTGCGTGTCCCCGTCCTTGATTTCAAGGCCGTTTGTAATCCTGGCGTTGTTTAGCAGCAATAATCCCAGGATTGGGGTCAACCGCCACTAGTAGAAAGTGCACTGTGGACATAAGCACTCCTCTCTAAATTGTCAACACTAAAAATATATTTGCTTTATTTGAATCTTTGTGTCACACACGGAGCATGCAGCGTTCAAAGTAGTTAATGAAAAAACTATTTTAATCTAACCACTGAGACAAATTGTTTTCCACACTGTTCCAATGTATTAACATGCACCCGTACAGTGTTATTGTGTCGGTACTGTATTTGTCGAAAGGAACCGTTTGTGGAAACAGCACACAGGAATCTGTTTTTAGCAACAAGGGTGTATTTACAGTATGCTCGAGTTGACAAGCAACCCCAAATTTTGGAACATACACTCACATCCCATATGTACAGTACATGCACACTTACACAGTCCAAGTATGTAAATATTCGACAAACACTAGAAGATGCTTCTCTTGCTTCCGATTCTTTCTGCTCTTTCCTGAAAAGCACCAATTTCCCTGCAGAAATTCTATGGGACCACGTTTGCACGCACGTCCATCTCCCTGACTTATTTTTTTCTCCCCTTCCTTGGCGGAGACTACAGTGGTCATCAAATTCTCCTGTGAGTGTTTCAGCAAACCGAGCAGGTCTTGGAGCCTCCACCGCCGGCGTTATCCGCTGATGGTCAAAGGCAAAATGTTACTCAGAATCATGCTGAGCATTCAATCACACAGAAACGCGACCATTTACGATTCATTTTCTAATGGCACCTTTCCTGGCTGCGGCTGCCTGCTTCGCCGCCTTCTCGTCCTCGGTGGCTTTGAGTTTTGCCTCATACTCTTCCTAAGTGAGCCATCACTTCCTGTCTGTTGTGTTCCAAAATGAATAAAAGCTGATTATTTTTCATGTGAGGTGATGAGAGTATTTATTGGGATGCAGGCGCGTGTGTGTGTGTGTGTGTCCTTGATTTCAAGGCCGGTTGTAATCCTGGCGTTGGTTAGCAATAATCCCAGGATTGGGGTCAACCGCCAGTAGTAGAAAGTGCACTGTGGACATAAGCACTCCTCTCTAAATTGTCAACACTAAAAATATATTTGCTTTATTTGAATCTTTGTGTCACACACGGAGCATGCAGCGTTCAAAGTAGTTAATGAAAAAACTATTTTAATCTAACCACTGAGACAAATTGTTTTCCACACTGTTCCAATGTATTAACATGCACCCGTACAGTGTTATTGTGTCGGTACTGTATTTGTCGAAAGGAACCGTTTGTGGAAACAGCACACAGGAATCTGTTTTTAGCAACAAGGGTGTATTTACAGTATGCTCGAGTTGACAAGCAACCCCAAATTTTGGAACATACACTCACATCCCATATGTACAGTACATGCACACTTACACAGTCCAAGTATGTAAATATTCGACAAACACTAGAAGATGCTTCTCTTGCTTCCGATTCTTTCTGCTCTTTCCTGAAAAGCACCAATTTCCCTGCAGAAATTCTATGGGACCACGTTTGCACGCATGTCCATCTCCCTGACTTATTTTTTTCTCCCCTTCCTTGGCGGAGACTACAGTGGTCATCAAATTCTCCTGTGAGTGTTTCAGCAAACCGAGCAGGTCTTGGAGCCTCCACCGCCGGCGTTATCCGCTGATGGTCAAAGGCAAAATGTTACTCAGAATCATGCTGAGCATTCAATCACACAGAAACGCGACCATTTACGATTCATTTTCTAATGGCACCTTTCCTGGCTGCGGCTGCCTGCTTCGCCGCCTTCTCGTCCTCGGTGGCTTTGAGTTTTGCCTCATACTCTTCCTTTTTGGCGTTCCACTCCTTCCTGTTGTTCAGGATTCCATCCAGCATGGGTTGGATTTGGGGGTGGAAGCGGGAGAACTCCTGTGGGAGGGAGGGGAGTACAATTCATCCTCCTGTTATATGGTTTGATTGACAACTGGTTTATCGAACCAGTCAAATGAAGCTTCACCTTGTAGACAAACGTGCAGACAAAGTCGATGAAACCACATTGGAGTTTGGGGAGCTCTGCTGCTTTGTTCCTGTCCATCATAGGCTGGCGGATGCAAAAGTACATAAAATTAGAACTGGAAACACATTCGAATAAGGTTTCGTCCACTTGTTAATAATGCAGTACATTATGTACATGTACCACTTTGTTTCAGTATTGTACTTGGCAGATGGTAAATGTATTCCATTTTGATGAAGCCGGCATCATGTCAAACTGGAAATCCTTGCTTGTCACCAGAGGACAAATTGTTAAAATCGATTTTGCACATGCAAAGTGCACAAGTACGGTTTTCTGTTGAGCAGATGAGGTATGTGTTGTAAAAATGGGAGGACTGTAAATGCGAATGAACGCATCACAGGATGTCCATTGAGAATTCTTACTCATTGTTGAAATCATTTGCAATGACTTACAATGGGTTGTTGCTCCAGCACCGTCCTCTCCAGGTCGCCTTGCTCCCAAAACTCCGCCGCCACGGACAGGGCAACCTGCATGACGCAAACACACAATGAGTACTGCGGAGGTATTTCAAGAACTGCGCATACGCCTCACCTTGCTTTGCACTTCCCAAGGTTTGGTGATGGCCGACAAGTCGCAAGCGGTCATCATCATGGCCCTGCAGTGACAAAACATTTGTGAAAGGCTCGAGACAATGAGCAGAAACATTTTTTTGGGGTGTGTGTGTATAGAGTCCACTCACATGACGATCTCCTTCCTGGTTGTTTCTAGAGACATGAAATCAACCCACTTCTTTTCGTCCTCATATGTGTGCGAAAGGTCCACAATCTTCTGGAACATGGTCCTCTTTCTGGCATGCGAGGAGAAAGGATGAGCATTTATTCCCGCATATTCTTGGTGGTGGTCTACCCTTGTACGCGTAAGCATAACGTCGGCTCACTTGAAATAAAGGGCGAGATCAGTGGCGATGATGGCGATATCGGTGAGGTGAACGACGTGGTCCATCTGTCGCCTGTTCAGGTTCTGGTAGATGTTCAGTGACTACGGGTGAGGGAGGAAAGGAAGAACTGTACGTTGTTGGGTTTCAGGTTCAAAACATGCACATTTAGTTTTTGTCATGATATGCGAAAGAAGTCTTGGGATCACACAACATACAAAAAAATGTTTTAAAAAAGGTACAGTTAGCTTGTTTACACGCTCTGCAAATGGCTGTCGACCGGTCCGCTGTACGTTCTCACCTCATCGGACAAGAGAAATTTCCCAAACTCTAGATGGTGCCGTTCCAAGACGGAAGATCCGTGCAGCTTGGCTAGAGGGTTGCCTGATCTGTTTTGACGTGAACATAATTCGGATTCTTTCAAAACAATGTCATCTGGATTACACATCCAATATATGCTAATCGCTACCACCCCCCATTCGTTTTCAGAAACACTGTCGAGCCATAATACTGCACATTTGTAATTGACAGGTGATTAATAAGACCAATGTCAGGTAGAAAATACAGCAGGCAACACTTACTTGACCTGGTACAAATTATTGGTCCCTCTGTGGTCAATGTCATGAAGGAAGCCTGCTGTAATCATGGCCATGACCTCCAGGTCGGTATAGTACCTCTTCAGCAGTCCCGTCTGGCACAAAGACGCAAGTATGAAAGAAATCCCGCTTTGCTTTTTTTTTTTTTGTTTAGGCTGAATCGGCATGAAGGTAAATACCGTCAAAAGCGTGAACATGGTCTGGCCCACGTTGAAGCCGTGGCGCCAGTTGTGATAAGTGATTCTCCTGTAGCCTTTACTGACAGAGTACATGAAACGAACCAGCACCTGAGGAGAGAGCCGATGGAACCGCGATGCTCAGAAGGAATCCCAAAATGTTTGATGAGACCAAGTACGGGAGTATGGACAATCACCTCCTGCGGGATTTGGAACTTCTTGACGACGCCCACTTCGTAGTACATCTGAATCCCGCACTTGACCAGTTCCATCTCTGTGCAGTTGAAATCCGAAAAGCGGAACTCGTAGATCTCAAATTTCTTGATCAGAGGCGGCAGGTCTTTTTTCTACAAAATAAAAAGTCTTCGACACAACTGCATTCAACCCGCTCGACATTCCATTGTTCACCATTTTACCAAGATATTTTGAAGCTCCTCCTCTTCACACTCCCATGGTTCGCAGTCATACAGCTCTTGGGTGTTCTGGGAGCGGATAGAAAAATTTTATGTTCATACTGGCTCTTGAAGTCCAAGGTGGTGTTGAATTTAATGTGTTTTTACTGCTAACCTTAATTCCTAAAAGAAAAACCTTTCACCATAACGCAAATCCCTGGATTTGAACTTTGACCTCTAAACAAAGGAGGTTTGCCCCATCACCTATCATCCACTTAAAAAAATTTCCTGACATCTCGCCCCCTAAAGATTGTCTCATTCCTACGGGAATTGTGGTCAGTCATGAGCTTTTGTGCAGTTTTGATATGCAGGACGTTTGTTTTCTCGTTGACTACCATTGACTGCTAGAGACGTCAAAATGTTTTACCATGGGCTGGCGGTGAATGAGTTTTAATAGGGAGTCTCCACTCTCAAAATGTAGAACTGAAGAATCTTTAAACATCTTCAACAAGAATCTGGTACTCACCAGGATATTTTGAATTTCATCGTCCCGGCATTTAACATGGTAGAGCACCATGTCCTGGGCAATGTCTTTGCGGTTCTCCAGCTTGTTCATTTTGTCATACGTGTCCGTGTTCAAAGCTGACCAGCCCAGGAACTGGGTCAAAGCCTTGGAAACAAGTGACACCAGAACAATCAGGACCGGTACAGAAAATTCAGCGGAATATGGAATGGCGATCTGAAAATATCATACCTCCATGAGCTGCTCATCATGATCGTCAAAAGGCTTTCCATCTTTTCTGTTGTAAAATGTCGCCACGCCGACGATCTCTTCCTTTTTGTTGACGATCGGGAGGGAGAGAACATTCTTTATGGTCCATCCGCTGCTGTCCAGCGCCTCGGTCTGGATCATACAAACGACAAAATATATCGTGTTCATTGAGCGGCACATTGACACTCTTCTCTTTCACGACTGCGCCTCTCCTACCTGGAAATCAAACGTCTCATCCGCCCCCGCATTCATAATATTGCAAATCTAAGGGAGGACAAAACCAATAAATGGATTGCTCATGAAAACACAAAGCGAAGACCATATTGCTGTAAATGGAACTCACAAAGCCACTTTCAGCAACATAAGTAGGCAAGCCGCTGCTCAAGGCCCAGTGGTCTGCCGGTGGATTACTAGATGACAAATAAAGACGTTAGTCTGATCTAATTCACAGACATTACGGTATATCGTAAGCATTTTTAAGGACAACTAGGCATAAACTAATCCCAGATCATGTATTTATTGTAAAATACATCGCGGTCCCCATTTCAACGGAATTCCAATGGCATTGAAACCAGCCGGAGGAGCACCATGTTATTTCCAGTTTGATCAATTCGTAACCAAATTTGTGTTTTTATTTTATTCATTTAAATTTTTTTTGTACGTGATATTGTATATCAAGTTAAAAGTCCAAATAAAATGCGGTCCCCATTTCAACGGAATTCCAATGACATCGAAACCAGCCGGAGGAGCACCATGTTATTTACAGTTTGATCACTTCGTAACCAGCGTCAAACATGGGCAAACTTGTGCGTAAAGGCCTGTTTGTGTTTTTATTTTATTTATATATTATTTTGTTTGTGTGTGATATTGTATATCAAGTTAAAAGTCCAAATAAAAAAGGCTTTACTTACGGTATTACTTTGATATCTTCCTTCCCGTGTAGTATGTAATCAATTACTTTGTAGAAATGTATTTCCTTGAAAATAAAGAGAAATATTTACCTTTTCGAATTTTTTTTTTTCCATTCTGGGAAATATTACAAAATGAGTACCCTTCCGTCAGGAGTTAGAGGTCCAGAGTAAGGAGGCTGCTCTCCCATTAACACTGGCCAAACGTCAAAGAACTCCTGAAAGACAGAAACAGAATTATGTTCGGCTAAAAAAGGAAAAAAAAAATGATGGAAGAGCAAAACAGAGAAAACTCGCCTTTTCCTTGGTCATGTCAAGTAAGCCGACAGAGTAGCGGTCACAGTTGAGGTAGGCTCGCACCGTGTACAAGGCCTTGTGGAACTGTCGCTCGATGTCGGTCAACTCTTCGAATACTTTGTTGGCGGACCATAGCAGCAGCTGGAAAACGACCATTTAGTTTTTAAAATACATTAAAAGCAATTCTACAGAATTGTAGCTGATTCATATGCCACAACGGTGGATTCATCTCATGGAAAAAAAAAAAAAAAAACAGTGTGTAGACTTTAGTGACATCTAGTGGTAACCGAATAGAATGCAACGAGCAAAGCTCGAAGCAAAGGGCCTTATATGGCGACTTCCGTCACTGTCCTGTGCGTGTGTAGAATTTAGTGACATCTAGTGGTGACCGAATAGAAAGCAACGAGCAAAGCTTGAAGCAAATGGGCCTTATATGGCGACTTCCGTCACTGTCCTGTGCTTCACCTGTCCTTTACGGGTTTCACAGTTGTGGAGGTAACTCAGGTGGTAGATCTTCAAGTTCAAAGTGGCAATTTTCAGATACTTTAAAAAGAGCTGCAAAAGAACACGCGTGCATGATTACAAATGTTCGACAGCTACAAAAAGTCAAGCGGAGCGGGTCTCACGTCTTCATCCTCATTCGTGAAATGAGGCCCGGTGGTCTTGTTGAGGGCGATGATCACGGCCACCAGGTCTTTGCCGTTGAGGATGGGCGCGGCCAGAACGTTCCTGGTCTTGTAATCAGTGAGCTCATCCACAAATGAGCTGAAGTACTGGTTCTGAAACACAGAAAATACACAATATTAGTTTGACTGGAACATGACAACATGGAGTAAACAGTTTTATCGGATGGTAGCAGTGGTTCAAAATAGCTATTTTAGCATCAACGATGAAATACCGCTACTGAATATGCTTTGCTCATTAAGTTTAACGACAATGGGATCATCACTATAATTCAAATATTACCTTTGTACAGAATTCTCAGGAGTGTCAGTTTTACACCGTCTGGCACATTTCAAACATACAGTAGAGGAGAGGCACAAAATGTTGCTAGCAAAACATCATTTTCTTAGCTGGCTGGATTTGAGCACCAAGATTTGAAGGGGGGACCACTTAATACAGTAAACCAACGTAAAAGATTAAAAATGTATGCAGACAGGAAACTAAATCGGTTGTCCATTCCTGCTGACGAAATACACGGGCCGTGTAATCCACTCGAGCAGAGCGGCAAATAAATGGATTATGTCTCACAAGTGGATTAAACCTTCACTTGGTCAAATATAGCTGCATGGCTGCATTCACCCGCAACTGGCTTGTCTTGGCCGGAAAAGTGTTCACAGGGGCCTCAAATTATGATAGCTTTATACTTCTATATCACCTATATTGTGTATGTATGTATATAGTTTTTTTTTGTCTGATTTAGCTTGACTTGGAAGTCTTGCCAAATAAACATCATTGAGGTGGCTTCGTGTCAGTTTGCTGCCACCTGTTGGTCGTACTGAGTAGCGGTTACCTCTTTGACATCCTTCACGTTGACCGTCTTCTTGGTCTGGGCTACGTGACCAACGATCCCCAAGTCCAGTGGGTAGACGATCTCGGAATCGGGCGGCACGACGCACTCGTCCAACTCAGACTGGGTGTTGACACCGAAGAGTCTGGTGGCCAACTCGCCGATGCCGTTCCTCTGCCTGTACATGAACAGGCTGCAGCGGTCGGCGTGGATCAGCGCACTGATTCTCTTGAGGATCTTGAAGACCACTTTCTCCATGTTGATGTTCTCCTGCATGTCTGTGATCAGGTCATACATGATCCGACTTTCCTCCACCTGGGGGGGGACAAAGGCAGCGTAATCTTCCCGATTTGGGTTCGGACGCGTGTTTTTCAGTTAAAGTAGTCAGACTACCTGGCTGAGTTCCTGAAATTGGCTGAAGTCCACCTGTTTTTCCGGAAGTCCCGACAGCTTGGATATGTCGCTTTGAGTCATCTTCTTGGCAAAGTACTCCTTCGTAAAAGTCGGGTTCCCTTTGAGGAACTTTTCTACATCCTCCTTTTGCACGCCCATCTTTCCCGCCGCGTCCTCTTCACCCAAATGACGGCAGCCTCTTCAAAGGCAACAGCAAATCTCTGGCTTTGACCTTTGCTGTCACAATGCTACCTCCAACTATGAACCGACAAGGCTACCCGAAAAGCAACAAAAAGCTGATGCGAGATCCACTTTAGGCCTTTATCGTAATCCAAAATGGGGAGACCAAACGATGGTATAAAGTGCTGGTTAGAAGTAAAAATAATAATCCCCCTCCCCCCTGTGTACGCGTTGGATGAAGAGCCCTGATGAGAAGGCAGAGGGCTGAATGCAAACAATCCTCCTGCCCTCAGCAGATACTTGGAAAGGTTAGCAGGGGATCTACCTAGTCAGGTGATCATCTCCGAGCCCATATGGGCCCCACAGTGATCGCAGTCATCACAGGAGTATCAACCAATGACTTGGACTGGCTTTTGTGCTCAACGGGCCTCATTTGGATCCGAGTAGTTACCCTCTCCACAGCCACTTCTTCCAGCTCTTCTGGTGGTGGATTCCAAGGCGCTCCCAAGCCAACCGGGAGGCAGCATCTACAGGGTGTCCCGGGTCGTATCCGTAACCTCCTTGCTGTGGGATATGCCCGGAACGCCAGGGAGGCGCCCAGGAAGCATCCTAAGCACATCCCCGAACCACCTCGTCTCAATGCAGAAGGGGGAGCACCATCCCCGGAGGACTGAACTTCTCACGCTATCGCTAAAGGAGATTCTGGACACCCTGTGGAGGAAACTTCTTTTGTATTCCTGATCTTGTTCTTTTGGTCATAACCCGCAGCTGCGACCTTGTGACCGTAGGCGCTTGCTTATGCTACTCTAAGACATTTGCCCCATTATGGGGCTCAAAAAATTTGCAGGGTAGAGCCTCTTCACGTACATATATTTCTGCCACATTGGTGCTGTGCTTTTGTTCATTGTCTCGTCTTGCAATTTTGCTCGTCTCTTATGGCCGTCTCACGCAGGCCCGTGCAAGCTCTTTAAGCGCTTATCAAACAAGACCTCCTCGAGCATAAGCCCGATTAAATTAGGACACGGGTTGATTATCTCTGCACCACAACTGTCTGCGCTGTTCTAAATGCCATGTCTGTTGTTGTTGTTGTTGTTATTCACACCTTTGCATCACAAGGCTGCGGCAACGGATTGTGTCAACATGGTTTGCATAAGCGCTTTTGAAAAGGTCATATTAATAATGTGTTTCCACTATAATCAATCACAACAGTCCAGGAGTTTATCCGTATTTTGTTTTTTTTGCCTAATTTGTTCCAGGATGAAACTGATGCCATCTGACACAGTTCGGGAATGAACCGAGTGGTGATTGGATCCCAGAAACGTAGACAAAAATCCGTAACAAAAATATTTATTAAAAAATATAAACAGAAATGGCTGCTCAACGCATAAACAAAAAGCAAGGTAAAAGTAACACCGAGAATATACACAACATGACAAGAGTCCAATTACATGAAAACAAAACAAGATCAAAGACAAAATTACATCAGTACTTACTACCGAGGAACTCGAGGTAAAAGCGACTATGACGAGAGGTCGAGAAAACGACACTTGAGCAAGAGTGGCAACAAGATCAATAATCCGACTCGCCAGTCCTTCAATACATGGATGGCTTCATCATGATGATCAAATTGGCAGCAGGTGTGCAAGCTGGAGGAGAAGCCCTCCATTGCCACCTGCTGGAGGCACGATGGGAACAATTCCAACCACCACTCACCAGCTGCAGTACAAATAATGACCACCAGGTGGAATCAAAGTCATACTTTAGTACTTCATCTTTCCTTTTCCACTCCCTCGGTCCTGTCTTTTCCTTCTTGGGTGGGAAAAAGCATCGAGATAAAACATTAAAAAATACAGTATGTTGAAAGTAGTACAGAATGTATTATTCTTTAGTCCTGAGTGACATTCGCCCCATTCAATAGTTAATCCACGGCGTGTCAGAAAGGTTACAGGACTGGTATCACAAAAGATAATATTTCAACCCCAAATCACAAATTAGCAGTTCTTTCTTCAACATGATTAGACATAGCAGCTTTTTATTCAATCGCAGCAGTTGCACAGTGAATCTATTTGCGTCCGTGAGCCGTTTCAGGCCCACACAAAACGGATTAGAGCCCAGAGGAGAAAGTAGATCGTCTGACTTGATTGGCTTGTGTGTCGTCTGTCTCAGTGAGGACACTGTTTACTATGTTTATATGCAGGCCATGAACTTAATGTCCTTTTTTTGGCTAGCTTTAATCGGGTAAAAGAGACACGCGCAGCAGCAGACAGTCTGGGGACAATTTTGGTGGGTTATTGTCACGTTGCTACGTTATGACAGCGGTAATCGCAGGTGACCGAGGTTAATCTGGGAAGTTCGTGAGTTCACATGGCGGAGAAGATGGGAGTGTGTTTGTTTGTGTGCCATACAATCTGTCGGCAAGCATTCATTCAGGAGACAACAATTATGGTACTAAAAAAAAATCAGGGTTCAGTACTAACACGGGTTCATGGGAGTTCAGTTCACATTGGGTACAGAAAGGGAGTCAAACACATTTCTTATTTTCATTTTCTTCTTTTTAGGAAAGTACAACAGGAGTTTGTTTTCTTACAAATAAAACAATGCAAACAAACACTTTGGTTTTTGCTTCGGCCTGACCTGAAGATCCGTGGAAGGACTGCTTCGATGTCGCTGAAAGCTGCATTTGTGCCGCACAATTTTTTTAAATTAATTTATTTATTTGAGTACTCCATTTGGATTTGTGTGTTGCGGTTTGAAATCAGTAAATGTTTGATGTACTTCTAAAAGCACATTGCTAGGCCATGACATTTGCTAGCATGAAGCATAATTTGAGCAGGGACGTGGTATGAAAGGATGTAAATGTACAGCATACTTAACTCTTCATTTCGGGCAGCACAAACGACCATTTTCAACATTCATGGTAACAGCGTCATTTCTAAAAAAAAGTTTTGGGCCCCCCTGAAACAGAAACTGTACAACTTGAGCAAAATAGACTTGGACTAAAGTCTCTCTTTAAAGATTTGGGTGCGGTCTTTCCAAGTAACATGCAAATGATTGTGCCTCCAGTTAGTTACATAAAAGTCAAATTGTTTTTGTTTTGTTTTGTTTTTTTTTTATGGTAAATCTTTGGCCAATTTGAACACAGAAGCCAGCTTACGGTAAGGACTTCGCGCCAATGAGATTACTTCTAGATTTAAGCACCTTATTTAGTTCCCGGCAATGAAAATCAGTCGTAAGCTGGTCTACGTTTAGCCGTATATAAAGGAGGCGGCGGCGGACGCCGGACCCAATCTGGTGTTTGGCCACAGACGAAGACTTCTTGCTCATACCTCGACATAAAGAAGGTAGGACAAAGATCTTTTTTTTTTTTTTGGTGTATGAGGTGTTACCAGCAAAGTTGATGGCCTGCTTGTGAAGAAAAAATGATTGTCACACTACATGAAGTGACAGGATTTAACGGGGTCACGTTTTTGGGAGGTCAAATTGAATGTTGGATATAAGACTTTTTCTGGGATGGTTGACCTCAACCAGTGTTTTCTCCTCGTAACGTGATGTTGTGATCTTGTGTGTGCCCGCCCAGAATGGCGTCCACCAAGCTGGCCCTCCTGCTGGTCGTTCTGTCCTGCATTGAGAGCTGTCTGTCCACCCCATGCGTGGTTGACAGCTTTTCCGTCAAACAGGACTTTGATCCCAAGAGAGTAAGTACATCCTTAAAGTTGCCACTGATGAAAAACAACTCAAAATGAATTGGAAAGCAGGTCTGACAAACCCGATTAATGTTCTGCATTCAGTACTCAGGGAAGTGGTACGCTTTGCAGAAGAAGGATCCGGAGGGTTTGTTCCTACAGGACAACATCTCGGCGGAGTACACCATCGACGACGACGGCAGCATGACGGCTTCCTCCAAGGGACGCGTCACCCTCTTCGGGTTCGTCGGACACCCGCATTTTCGAAATTGTCCGACGTAAAGGGAAAAAGAACAGAAGATCATTTGTCCTTCTTTACAGCTGTCAAAAATCAAAAGTCCATCAAAAATGGTTGGAGAAGGGCGGTACCTCATCTTAGAATCTCCATCCATCCATTTTTGAATCCGCTTATCCTAAAACGGGGTCGCCGGCGTGCTGCAGCCTATCCCGGCTGTCTTCGGGCAGTAGGCGGGGTACACCCTGAACTGGTTGCCAGCCAATCGCAGGTCTTACGATATGATCCTTCAAAATAAATGGCTTGCAAATGATTTCATTTTGAAACTTGCAAGCACATGCGGCAAACTCTCGCATTGCCACTGACGACCCAAGCTAAACTTAGCTCCTCCCTGACCCCCCCCAAAAAAAAAAAGTTTCAGATAAAACCACAAATATTGTGGATAGGTGGGTAAATTTATGACTGGTGCAGGGAATTACTATCCAGACCGGAGTCGGTTTCTCAGCATCGTTTCCAAGATGCTTCCGGATTGTAAAAGATGAGAAAAGCGTTGGGTTCAAGATTTTCCATGTTTTTATGTCGTAGCTTCTGGGTCGTATGCGCTGACATGGCTGCCCAGTACTCCGTTCCCGACCCCGCAACCCCCGGAAAGATGTTCATGAACTACCAGGGACTGGCCAGCTACCTGTCCAGCGGAGGCAAGTGTCCCCCCCCCCCCCCCCCCCCCCCCCAAAAAAAATCCCTTTTTTGGGGTCCCTTTCCTAACAGTTTGTGAACCCCAACCTTCACCAGGGGACAACTACTGGGTGATCGACACCGACTACGACAACTACGCCATCACCTACGCCTGCCGCACCGTCAAGGAGGACGGCAGCTGCGATGACGGCTACGCCCTGGTCTTCTCCAGGAACCCCCGCGGCCTGCCCCCGGCCATCCAGCGCATCGTGCGCCAGAAGCAGGAAGACATCTGCATGGTCGGACAGTTCCAGCCAGTCCTGCAATCCGGAGCGTGCTAAGAATGGCAAAGCGGGGGGAGCGGGCGAGCGAGACAAAAAGCAAAGCGGCGACACCAGGCTGCGGTTGTCGTGGCTTGAAAGCAAGAGTGATGTGGAACAGAATGTTTGTATGGGACTGATGTGAGACGAGAATTTAAAAAAAAAAAAAAAAAGACCACCTTACCTAACCCCATACCTGGAGTCCAAGTTTACGAAGTTGCTGTCTCCGGTGGTCTTTAAATGAATGTAACAATATTCTTTTTCTAAAACCACACCTGGCTTTGTTTTGTGAATAAAGGAAAGTCTGAAACGTGCTGAGCTGGT